GGAGTTGAAGTCCACCTATCTTAAAGCTGCGAAGCTTGAGAAACACTGCCTTAAAGATTTATATTTTATCGGTGAGTAAAAATAACAAGCAGAACACACAGAGGCCAAACAATCTCAGATCTTAAGCCACGCTTGGAACAAGCCAGCTTCCCCTTTCATTATTTTGAATTAAAAACGAAGAATAAAGACGAAAGGAGGAAGCCAATTAATTCTGGCTGCCACCACGTTACTTATCCCCGCGCCAAAGTCGTAGGAGAATCCTAATTTATTTCGGATTTTTTTCCCCCGTGTTTTAATTAATTCCCAAGTTGGGTCTCCGGACCGTTGATCATCTTTTTTCCTGTTTTTTTAATTCCCCAGGTTGTGATCATGGAAGGGATGAACAGCACCGGCAAGAGGCTGGTCGCGACCAAACTGTACGAGGTGATTAAAAAACACCTTTTAATTTCAGAAGTCGCCTGGTTTTTACTGTAAGCAGCAAGGATTGATTAAAAATAGAGTCCCAGCATCACCCCAGGCCAGCTGGAGGCACATTGGGACTTTTGAGACCCCGATGTGGGTGCACTCTCAAAATGGCTGCCAGGGGGCGGAGCCATTGGGCAGCCATATTGGAAAAACCAAATTAAATTGGTGAATGTATGATTTCTCTTCTCGCCTCTTAAGGTTTTCTTGGTCTTTCTGAGCTTATTTCTTTCCTAAGCAGGACTGGCAAACTAGAGCAGGCAGATGAGTTTAATTTATCTCTGTGTGAATAAATAAATGTAAAAATATACATTTCTTTTCTCTTCAGGGGGTACCACTTCCCTTCCACAAGCCAACAGAAGCAGCCACAGGTGGGGTATCCTTTTGCCAACTTGGTTCAGCCGGCATGTGACCTTGAATACGATTCTGGCTTGTTGCTGGGTTTCTCCCTATTAAGCCATGGTTTGTTTAAACATGGTTAGTGGAGCAACTCCCAGTTGGCCAGGTTCACACAGCGTGCTGAGACAGTCCTCTGGGAGCAATATTAAGGAATTATTAATATGGGGTTTTATGAATTGCTTTTCTTGTCTCCCTTTTTAACCCACATATGTGGGCATTTAATTTTATTGCACTGTTTACAGTTATTGTATTTTTTTAGAAATAAAAATGCATCAATAATAATAATACTAATATAATAATATATTAATAATATATTATTAATGCATTTTTATTTCTAATAATGCTAATATAATAATATATTAATAATAACATTAATGCATTTTTATTTCTAACAAAATTACAAGAATTAAACAGTGTAATAGTTTGCTTGCACTAACAAATTATTAACTAATGATGAATAGTGCATGATTATTATTAATGATTTTTATTTCTAAAAATTACTGTAACTACACACAGTCCAATGGTTTACTTGCACTATCATCAAATTATTAATAATAATGCTTTTTATTTCTAAAATATTGCAATAACTAAGTGCAATGGCTTGCTTGCACTATCATCAAATTATTAATAATAATGAATAATATATGATTATTCATGATTTTTATTTCTAAAAATTACAGCAACCATAAACGGTGCAATGGCTTGCTCGCACTATCATCAAATTATTAATAATGTAATCATGATGAGGATGATTAATCATCAAATTATTATTAACAATAATTATTATTATTAACAATAATTTGACGGTAAGGCAAGCAAACACCCGCGGGGGTTTCTCCGGGTCAGAATCCGGCTGGTTGGAAAACTGAATCTTGCCACCCTTCCAGATTCGGAGCCACGGATGGTCTTGGTCGCCTGCGGTCCCTACACCACTTCAGACAGCGTCGCCTATGAGCCCATGGTGGATCTGATCGAGGTCATCAAGAAGGACAAGCCGGACGTTTGCATTTTGGTAACGGAGGCGCTCCCGAAACCGGTTTCCAGGGGGATTCGATGCCCAGCTGGTGCCTTTGCTCCGAGCTGATGTGGCGCGTTCCTCGCTCGGTCTGATGACTAGGAAGAAGTTGATAGGCATTAAATTAGCCAAGATCAGGGTAAGAGAGTTGAAACTCAGCCTGTGCGGGGGAGGAACCCCTGGACCCATATTGCTAATCTGCAATCTGGGCCGCCCATCAGCACTGCTGGGAATCAAGGATGCTGGGAATTGTAGCGTTAAATTAGCCAAGATCGGGGTAAGAGAGTTGAAACTCAGCCTGAGCAGAGGAGGAACCCCTGGGCCCATATTGCTAATCCACAATCCCCATCAGCACTGCTGGGAGTCAAGGATGCTGGGAATTGTAGTTGAACAATAAAACAGCCATCAGATTCCCTACCTTTGGATCCAGGTAACTTTTCATGGCGTTGGGGCGGGGTTTGTCTTTTGCAAACACTTCCCTTTGGGGCCTCAACTTTTCATTTTTATTCTTTTTTCCGGCTGGCCTCATTTCTTGGAAATGGTGGCCACGGTTAATCAAGACCGGGGCTGTTTTTCCCTCCTGCCTCCCTGCTCCTTAACCTTGGCTTCCTTTCATTGTTTGTAGCTTGGACCGTTCCTGGATGCGAAACACAAGCAAGTCGAGGTGAGTGGAGAAGAGAAACAGATGGACTTGGGGGGTTTGGAAGTTGTCTGCGCGTGTGCGAGTTCAGACGGTTGCTTTGGGCAAACTAGGACACCGGGGCCTAGAAGCTTCAGGGAACCTTTCCAGTGAATGAAAACGTCATTTTTCAGTGGAAAACTGTAAAAAAAAAACACCCTCAGGCAAATTCTTCCTGAATTTTGCAGCTGCAGTAAGTCAAAATTTCAACAAGCTGTTTCTTCTGGCAGAGAGAAACTCAGAAAGCAAAAGAGGTCCGTTTTCCCCAAAACTGGTGCTCTCCAAATGGACTGTCCCCAGCTAGTAAAAAGCCATTTTCATGCTGGTGGGGAATTGTAGTTCCCCAAAGCTGGAGGGCATTAAATTGAGGGAGGTGGATGCTTGGCCGAGTCTTCAGTCCAAACCCAGACTTCAAATGAGCTTCTCAACAGCCTGATTTAAATCAGGGAAAATCCCTTTAAATCAGGCTGAAGCGTTGCTAAGTACTTCTAAATCTCTCTGGTGCCTCCAGGACTAACCCTGGAGACACCAAGGATTAAGCCTGCAAAAAAAAGTTTTTTTCAAGCAAGTGATGAGTCTTCCTGCAGAAAGAAACTAAGGTTCCAGTCCTCATGGTTCTCATAATTTAAACATCGGCCACGTTTCCTCTTATATTGGACGGTATTGGCCCCTCTAGCGTGACGGCCTTCTTGCAGGAAATCCGTCTTTCCCTGCCCTGAATGTGGTGGGATTTGAACTCGGGCCCCCAGCCTACAAAACGGGGGTTCTCCTCTTGCTCTCCAACCGAGCTGATTTGCTTCTAGGAAGGGCAGTTCATCCTTTCGTACGACGAGGTCTTCAGGAGGTGCTTGAAAACAATTATCGAAGGAACGAGGAGGTAAGGAACCCACTGGAAAAGCCAGGGATTGAACCGGGAGGTGGGGTGGAGATTCCCCGGGGCTGAAAAAGTCAAGAAAAATCAGTGGCTTTAAAGTTGCTGGTTTTCAGTGCGTGCACAAATGTTTGCACAAAATTTGCCCCAATTTAAAAAGGGCAGCGTTTGTCATCCCAGGTTCTCCTGGCCTCAATGCAACCTTCGTATTCCCGGTTCTCACAACCGTGTATCTCTGCTTGATCCCAGCGCCGGCTCCCACCTGGTTGTAGTTCCTTCCTTGAGAGACGTGCATCACCTTTGCGTTTATCCCCAGCCACCTTTTGCCTACGAACTCCCCAAAGAGGACCAACAGGTATTTATTCCCCCCCCCTCCAGCTGTTGCGTGCAATTGAGAGGTTCCTAGCTTTCCCTGAAGGTTGACGGGGCCAGGAATCTTGGCTTGGGCTAAATCCTGAAAGGAAACGTTGGATAAACCTTGGATAGATTCAAGGCGATGCCTTTCCTTGGCCTTCCTCCTGTTTCCTTTGCAAAGCCCCTTTTTGCAGAAGTTTGACTTCGCGGTTTGCAAAGCGTCCGCCAGAACCGTGACGCTCTGCAAAAAATTCGAAGCAAAAATAAAGGCGCGTGCCCACATTGGGCTGTTTTGAAAAGCATTGGGGCCTGTCCCACATCACTGGATTTGGGGTGAGGACAGACTATTTGCTCCCATTTTCATTGCTTCATGTTTGGGGTGTTTTTCTTGATTGATGATTGCAGTTTACATGGCTGCCCGTCTCAAGTTTATTTATTTATATTCCAAATTTCGTCAGGTTCCTGACTCGGGGGGGCTAACGGGTGGATTGTTCTGTCTTTAAGTAAAATGTGTCTGTGTCTATGTTAAGAATACTGGTAGCTTCACCCAATAGTTTCAGGA